AAGTAAATGGCAAAAAAGCACCAAAAACCACGCCAAGGAACAAACATTCACTTTGTGTCACACACCGTAGATCGGCCAAAAGACAGCGGGAAAGTAGCGGCGGTAGTTCGCGCGATCCACGTAGTATACACAAGGATCGATGTCAGAAGCTGAAGCGTGCCCGTCGACAAAGAGGCCCAGGGCGAGCTTGGGTCGTGGTTGTTCCGTCCAGTTCTCGGAAAGAGCAGCCTGGACCGCTTTGACTCGCTCTGCTTGTAGCGTGCTGGTGAAGTCTTTGCTTTGGTATAGCTTGGCATCGCCAGCATCGACAACCTGCAGAAGCACCAAAAAGTCAGAATCGAGCAAGACCAGCACTGCAGTAGCAAACGAAACAAGCGTACTTGGTAATTCTGTCCTGGAGCGTTCTGTATCACAAACACAACGATTTGAATGTCATCAGTCGTCAAATGTCATGTGGGTCTCTTTTCAAGCTCACGCAGCACGCGTAACGCACCTGATGAAGGGTAAAAAAGTCGGCGGCAGCGTTGTTCAGCAGGCCGAAGTACACCGTGCCAGGCGTGCGAAGGTCTCGATGAAAGACATCATACTGGCCTTCCATTGCCTCCCACCTGATGGCCTCGAGACCAGAAGGTTTGGGAATCATGAGGTTCTGGGCAGTCTCGGCATCAGGCGGAAGGTCGGCGAAACGTGCGCCATCATGAAAGGTCCCCAGAGAAATCCTTGCTGTGCTGGACTGGGCAGCGAAAGCATGCTGTCGAAGGGCATAGGCAGCTGCACAAGCTTCTTCCAAAGACAGCGGGGACTGGCTGGTCGGCAAGGATTTGTCGATCACCTGCTTCAAGGCGGTCAGATGAGCCGGCATAGGTCTGCCTTCTCGGCGCACCAAGCCCGCGGCCATGTCAACACGATGCTCGAGGGATGGGTCCTGATCGATCGCCGTTGCGAGCGCCTTGATTTTGTCGTCGATGCGCTTGAGCAGCGTCCAGGCCATCGGCATTGGGATGATGAAAGCATTCCGGAGAACAGTTCCCACATTGCACTGCTCGAGAGCTTGGCGATCCAAAACGAGCCTAAACAAGACCGGGGGCAGGAGGCTCGCTGTCAGAATATCCTCAAGCTGGTCGCGCAAGATTGAGTCTGTTCGAGCTGCAATAGCAACATCGATCGCGTCCATGAGCATGTTCAAATCTGAAGTTTGCATGAACGTGCTCTCAAGCGAGAGCGACTTTATAGCCTTGCAAATGCGCTCCAAACTTCGGGCATGACCAGACGCGTAGATCAAGACGCGCTGGAATGCCCGGTCAGACGGCAGCTTTTTCCGGGCGAGTAGTAACTGGGCTTGGGCATCGGGCGTTGTGGGTTTCTGCCTCTCCAGGAAGGCTTTCACCCAGTCTTCAGACTCCTGGAAGGTGAGGGACGGGACTTCGAAACGCACGATGGTGTAGCTCGACGTGCGCACGAGATTCTCGAATGGAACATACACCAACCCCGCAATCAGAGCGGTGCTATGCCATGAACTGGCGGTGGCCCTTATGGAGTTTTTTCCAAGAGCGTCGAAAACAGCCTGGAAGAAAGGGCTGTCCGGCTTGTTGGTGGTGGCGTCGCGAGGCTTGCTGGTGTGACCACTGTTGGTCAAAGCCCGTTGAAACTCATCTACAGCGAGCACGAACATCACGCGCTGTGGCTTAGTTGACTGGTGGGTTGAGGAAGGCAGGCCAAAGACGCTCAGGTCCGGGGTGTGTTGCAGGGCGTGCTCGGCGATAATGTCAAGGGCATCTTTGAGGCCGATGTTGCCGATGGCCTTTGCAACTTTGCTTGCCTGCTCAATCTCCCAATAGGCCGCACCGGGCATGGCATACGACAGGAGCATTCTGTAGGCGATGCTCGCTCCGCCGCCAAGTGCTCGATCGAGCGCTCCAAACAACGTCTTGTTGTTGTAAGTCACGAAGATTGGCACAACTTGGGTGGTTGTGGAGGACTTTTGCGTGCACTCGATCGCGTGCCTCATGTACTCGAACAAGGCCCGAGTTTTGCCAATGCCAGGAATACCGGCGATAACGCCCATTGGATACGCAATGCGGTCGTCAGCACTGGCCTTGGTCACTTCTTCGTAGTGGTCGGACATCTGTTTCAGGATTGCTTCCTTGTTATAGTACTCGGTGGCAATGGACTCGAGAAAATGCTAGAGGAAAACCGAAATCGACGGTTAAAAACCAGAGTCGTGAATCCGCAACGACGCATTTCCGGCTTATTTGTCTTACGTGGAATTTTGAACTGCCGGTCAGCACTCCAGCGTCGATCAGGGCCTGCATTTGCTGTTGAGTTCGGTTTGGGCTGAGGAGTAGATCTAAAGGTTGGAGAAGAACAAAAACACCCGCATTAGGAAAGCACGCGCAAAATGCCTCAATGGTAGAACTTTCAAAACAACGCACCAGGTGCTTTAGCCCACGCTTGTTCCAGTTTTTGCTGAAGGGTCCGCTCGGTTTTTTCTTCATTGCTTTGCGCTGCTTGGTTGAGCCCTGGAGAAGGTACACAAAAAAAGCCATACCGCTCAATAATCAGTGCAAATGACACACACACACACACACACACACACACACACACACACACACACACACACACACACACACACATACAGTATTGTGCGTCCGAAGATGAAAACTGCAATATGAGTTTGGAAATAGAAACGGACGATTTGGTTTTTAAACATTTGAAATGGTACAAATTTGTAGTGCGATTTTGGACAAAATGCTATCGATTTGGTTTTTAAAAACACGAAACTGTCCAAACTGCGCCCGAGTTGGTTTTTGCCAAGATAAGGTCTGGTTTTTTGGCGCGAACAATTTGGAATAAAAGCTTGAAACTGAAAATTCGCACTCTTGGTTGGGAAATTGCCACTTCATGTTTGGGATTTGCAAACACCCCCAGACGAACCTGCTCTGTAGTCATGCCCAAACGTCAAAACGAGGCGCAGGCCACCGAATCACGCGCGCCGCGGAAGTGTGTCCATCTAGAAGACCCCGAACGGAAGCGGATCATCGACTTGGCTGTTGATCGCGCCTTGCCTCTCGTCACGGTCGCCAGCATGCTCCATCACCCCATCAGCACTGTGTCCAACGTAGTGCAACGTTTCAAGGAGCGCGGAGAGTGGACGTCACATCACGTCAATCCGACGGG